TTTCCCTCTAGAATGAATGAAAATAAGGGGGGAAGAGAGGCCACGTAATGAGATCAGGGGGAAGGCTGTGATCTGTAATTATCTAAAGAACTGTTTAATGCTTACCCTGTGAGAAGAAAGCACAAATTTCTACATTCCTTAAAGGGCACCAAAAATAAGGCTGCTGATCTAGTATCCTCCGCACGAAGAATGCCTAAACTATCCATTTCCATTCACATGCAGTTAACAGTTGTATCAGTTATGTAAATGACTTGGTATTTACCTGTCCATGTGTATCCCCTGCAGACTTTCCAGCCTCAAACTTTAAAGCTAGACCAAAATCAGCAATACAAGCTGTAAGATTATTTTTCAGCAGCACGTTCTTGCTTTTGATGTCCCTTTCAAGTTAAGGAAAAAAATTAGATATCTCGAACATGGAATACCATACAAAATTCTAAAGAAAAAGTAGTACAACAAAACAAAGAACATTGCAATCTGGCAGGCAAGAAAATTATAAAGCAACAGTCCATTCAGACAACAAAAGAATAGTAATAATAAAACCCAGGAGTACACTTGCAGACCTTTATTCTTATGGACACATACAAGACTGCAACTGGAACTATCATTTTATGCTTAGGTTTAAAAGACATGTAGATTTATAAGGACGTATGATACAGAAATAGAATAAAAGTGTAATTACTGCATACTTTAATTACAACTAGATTTTGTTTGTTTAAATAATAGGAAATACAACACTTTGAAAAATGAATCTTGATTGTTTCTCACAAGGAGATACCTGGTTTCCAGCAGAACCGAAAGATAACAGACTCGATCCAGGCATACCCATCTGTCCTGTGCGTACCTCTCCCTCTCCCCATTTTGCCATCAGTCAATCAGTTATGCTTATGAAATTCCAAATTCTGCAGAATCTGCATTTCTCCTGCTCCATACACCTATCTTTCCTTTTGCTTACCACTGTCGCTTCAGCTCCCTGCTTCTATTCATAGCTTTCTATACCTACCTCATTTAAAATAACCCAGCAATTACACTCAACAGTAGGCATAACACCACTTAGAGCAAATACTTCCATGTGAAGGCATTCAGTATTACTTCAAGTCATACACCTAACCGTTTAAGTTGTTTCAAATTGCTATAATGCCAATAATTTTATACACTGCAGAGGGTACGTAAATAATTAACTGTATAAAAAAAGAATTTATGACATTAGCTACAATCACCACACCAAGTTCTCCAAACCATCAGCTAGACTTTCGCTTAGGCTGAGCAGATTTTGGGTTTTTTATGAGGCTCTCGATAATTCTAGGAGGAAGATATCACAGAGTAACTATCTGAATACTTCCTATCTATCCAAGTTTCATATCCTTTAGCTCAAAGTTCAATAGTCACAATCACCTGAAAATATTTTACATATACTGTACCTATGTGAGATGGCGGGTTTATGTCCATCTTTTAGCCCTGGTATATCCTCGTGGAGATAAGCCAAGCCTCTAGCCATAGTTTGAGCGATGTGACATAGCTCATTCCAGGAGACCACATTAGCCTTGAGAAAGTCTGTTAATGAACCCTGCACAGCGGAAAAAAAAGAATTACAAGATCAGTTTCATTCTCCTCTGCTCACAGAGAAAACTTCTAGCTGGCCTCCATCGTTAAGGAACACGATACGCCTGTCTGCCTTTCTCTGGTTTCCGACAGGCCACATAATTATACACATTCATGAACAATCAACTGCTAGTTTAAACAACAAAAAAATTAACCTCTTGCATTATCTCTAGTCCATGAACAGAATCAAGATGTACCTACGCATCACCTCAACAGGCAAAGAGTGCAATGAACTCTTAAGTGGTACACTTGCAAATCAACTGTGCGCTTAACTGACATTGTCCAAACTGGAGCTAGACTTAAGATATTGAGGTTTTTTATAAAGACAATCCTGCTTTTACCAGGGTGATCTATCACCTTCCAGGCGCAGGAAATTACAGGTTATGACCTTCAAGCTGCAGAGTCTCCCGTGAGCAAACACCGTGCACGTGCTCGGCGTAGAATACCTGGTGTCCCTACTTCAGAGCGCAAACTTGCAGGAGTGGAAGCGTAGCAGGAGAATCACATCACAGAATCAAAGCTTTCATATATAAAGAGCTGAAGTAAAACCTAGTCAACACAAAGCACTTCTCTTGAAACTCATCTCTATAGCCCACTCTATGCACATATTGTCATGGATTTGCATATTATGCAGTTTGTGAGATGTCACCGTGTCACACGTTGCTGTGTGAAAAGCTGACACAAAAGGAAAAAATGAACAACGCGTTGTCAAAATGTAGAGACTTTAAAAATAAAATTTTAAAAAAAATTGTATTTTCTGTCAATTAGAGTCATCTCCATGCCATCTTTCCAACAGTAACAAGATTTTTTAAACTCTTGGACAAAAACCAAAAAAGGCAATAACCTTTCGGAAAGACAAATTAGTTTGACATCATCTACTTGATCGTGAAGATCTGTCGAAAATTTTAAATAGTTGGATAGTTTTAGTCTTCTACATTATTAAAGCAGAGGCACAAGTGGCACAAAAATGCCAGAATGAAGAATGTAACATTCAATACTAGCAAGGCGATCCGTGACCCAGCCTTACTGCATCAGCGTGTCCGTATTACACAGATTTGTACTTTCTCCAATCTGCTACAGGTAACATCTTCCTAACGCCTCTTTGCCTGCACCAGCACCAAATTGAAGTTTGAGTTTGTGGGGTTTTTTTGCTCTTTGTACTTGTATCTGTGTGACAGTTACATGCATTAAAAAAAAAATTTAAGTGGATAAAACAGTGAACATATTCTTAATTACATATATTTGTTTCTTATTGTGGTTATCACAAGATAATTTATATGTATTACTTCATTCTGAAAGACTCCAATCAACTAATGGAATTAAACCAAAAATAAAACACCACAATCTCTGCAACATGGAGTTTATTTAATTTAGGCAGGTTTAGATGGGAGATATTAAAAACATACATATTCTAAAAAGCAAGAAAGAATGAATTTTTGTTTTTTAAAACAACTCCTCTATTAAGCAAATACCGATGACAACTTTCTCAGCTGGCTGAAAATAAATTTAAATAAATTCATATCCAAGAGACACAAGCTAAGAGTAAGCAAAATCTATTTTAAATTTTTTCTTAAAAAAAAAAATAAAAAAAGAAACTACACTGAGAACTAAACATACCTTTTCGTGAAACGCTGTAATTAACCAGAGATCGACATCAATGCTAGTGCCTCGTTTCTCTGCACCAATGAACTGCAAAATATTGTCATGCTTCATCCCAGGTAAACTGTAAATTTCATATTCATTCTGCCATGACTGTTTGTCCTTTAAACAAAAGAACACATCAAACCAAGTTAACACCACAGTAATGAGAATAAACACTACTTTCCCTGACAGAAGTTTCCTCCTACAATTTACTGTGCATTTGTACATGATCTGTCAAAATGACTAAAACCTTTTTTTTGGGCCAGACAGGATTTACTACCTAAAGCAAAGAAAGCATAGTGTATGTTATTAACATTATGAGGCTGATTATTTAAAAGTTACAAATGTTTAGACTAACAACAATATTTGTGCTAGAACCTACTGACCTAACATATACAAAAATACAAAAACCTGCCTTTCTTCATATTACATATTCACACATAGCGGGAAACTGTCTGAAAAACTTCAGTTTGTTGTTTACAACATCAGCTGTTCAAAACAACCTCAACTATCACAGATACGGACCACAGAAACAAAGGAAGCTGCAGATTAGGACTGCAGTCTACAGAAAGCAAATCATTACCATCGCTTTAGTCTGAAGAGCATCGTTCAATTTTTGTATGTTACTACCCTAAAGAACCCCATAAAGAAATAGGTTTTCCATAATTAAAAGTAACGAACAAAGTCTCTGACTCAATTTCTGTTGTGCTGGTGGCTGAAAACAGCATAAATACACGTCATTTCTCCTAGAAGAATAAGAACCTGCAGATGTATTTATTCAGCAAGTCAACACTTGGTTAATCATCAGAAAACACAAACGTATTTCTTCACCTCAAGTAGCAGTGGGTGTTTTTAATTAATGTAAAATCTATCCTAACATCATGGTGTATGATCACTTTGTATTCTGTAACTAGACGATCTTAAAATCTTGAGCACAATCTATTCTAGAACATGGCTTTCAGAGGGTACTTGCTGGGAAGTAAATATCATTTCACTTAATTGAGACATATTTAATTGGAACAACCACCTTACGGGTTTGCATTTCAGGACATCCCTTCCAAGTACAATTTAATTCAAAATATATTAATGGCTTTTTCTCAACTGATCAAGAGATGTGTGAAAACTGCTTGAGACTCTTCACACCAAATACAAATTTTTATGACTAGAAACACACAAACATTTCAGAGTTTTTTTCAATAATATGTCTGCTGCATTTGAATACTTACCTTAGTTCAATAAAACTCTACCTGCACATTTTTCAGCTCAAGACATTTCCTGCATTTCAGAATTTCTCTGAACTTTCCAGATTTAGAGTATATATTGAAAATTCTCTAAAATAAAAGCCTTTTGCTGTGACTAGAAAAGCTGGTTTAACATTACTATATTGCAAGCAACACATGAAACTAAAAACTTCTGCTTACCTGAATAGGGAATATTTTGACTGCAACATACTCATTCAGCAGTTGAGCTTTCCATACACAACCAAATCTTCCCCTGGCTTTGATCTCGAGTAACTGCAATGGCTTCAAACCCATCAGCGGTGAAGGTGGAGGTGGTCCAGGATCCTGAAAGCAGGTTAAAACCATTAATTCATTTTGCTATTGTATGTGCTATCTAGGATGACAGCACTAGACTTGTAAACTGAAAGAGACTCGGTACCGTATACCCAACCCACTTGCAACAAATTCCCCCAAACAAACCAGAAACAAAACAGCAACCCTTCTGCACCGGAAAGAAAAATGAGATTGTAAAACATGCTCGGAATTAATGTGCAAGCGACAGCATAACAACAGTTACAGTACAAATCTGTCTAACCAGGTGTAAAAGCTCAGCAAAAATTAAGGAATAATCAAGCTTTGCTTGTTGCTTTTTTGAAGTTGAAAAAATTAAAATGAGCACCTCTGATACCTGTAAGGGTTTTTTTATTTGTTTGCTTGACACACACGTGACCCATTTAATCCTTTAGTTCAACAGCCTGGTGACAACTCTACACAGCCACCAAGGTCACCCCCACGTGCCACCAGCCGGGACGCAGAAGATGCCTACGTTAACAATTTGGCTGGGGGCAGCAGCAAATACCCTCCCTGTCTGTAGTTGCCATGTCCAGTTCTCCCAGGCCATCGAGCCCATACCACAGAATCACAGAATGGTAGGGGTTGGCAGGGACCTCTGTGGGTCACCCAGCCCAACCCCCTGCCCAAGCAGGGTCACCCAGAGCAGGCTGCACAGCACCGCGGCCAGGCGGGGCTGGAATATCTCCAGAGAAGGAGACTCCACAGCCTCCCTGGGCAGCCTGGGCCAGGGCTCCGTCACCCTCAGAGGGAAGAAGTTCTTCCTCATGTTCAGACGGAACTTCCTGTGCCTCAGTTTGTGCCCATTGCCCCTTGTCCTGTCGCTGGGCACCACTGAAAAGAGCTTGGCCCCATCCTCCTGACACCCACCCTGCAGATATTTATAAGCATTTATTAGGTCCCCTCGCAGCCTTCTCTTCTCCAGGCTGAACAAGCCCAGCTCCCTCAGCCTCTCCTCGTAGGAGAGATGTTCCAGCCCCCTCATCATCCTTGTAGCCCTACCAGCACAGCTCTACTTCAAAAACTCCACTGCTTACTGGGACAGAAGGCTGCAAACCACAACACAGCCAGGCCATGCCATGACAAGGTCCTTCAGGACGTCACTAACATTTTTTTCACCCAGAAACCACGGAACCACACGCATCACGCAGGTGTTTGGCACAGGAAACCGCACACCGGCATCTCCCCAGCCAGCCCTCCACACCAACCCACCGGCGGCGTGAGGGACCGCAGCACCGACGCCTCAGCCTGCTGAGCCACTCCTACTGCTCCCAGCGTTTGCTAATGTGGGAAACCAACATGCGACTGAAACGGCAGCGCTTGGCTGTACCCCAGAAACAGATCTGGAATTAAATTTAAGAGGTTATCTTGCCATATCTTACAGTATTTGTAGTTCACTGAGGGGCAGCCCAACAACTCCTTTTCAAATACAACAGCGCAAGCTGGGAAGTACAACTGCAAGTGAGACAGAGCTTCCACACAGCTATCCATAGAACCACCCATTTTGCTACAGATTTGAACAATTCCCCATTCTGGGAAAGAAAATGCGACAGCTTATTGATTGTCTCTTATTTTATACATCTCTTACATATTGTGGATCCTACACATCACCTGAATGCAAGCAGCAGATTTTCAGCTTTACTGCCAGAGGTGTGCTTCTTTCCGGGCCGTCCTTTTCTCTCCAACCCCCCGCCTCAGATCAGCCTGCAGCTGCGTAAGCGTCTTCCCTGCTACGAACAAACGCACCAGACCCATCACACACGCCTCTGCAGCAAAGACTACTGCCCTACGCACCGGGCCACAGCCACGTTCTCTCTGCTGTCTGATCCCTGTTTTCTGCAGGAAAATAAGTCACCTTCTGGTGTGTAGCAGTCACCAGGCAGAATCACCAATACCGCTGCCATGTGATACAGCTCCACCTTTCTTCCACACCCCCCAAGTTAGTTGAAACCATGATTTGTTCCTCAGTCCAAATTACCACGGAGCACTGCCAGGGCCATTGCTGACAGCGTGGGGGCAGACGGGATCACAGAGGGAGGGGGGTGAAGGGCTGCTTTCAGCGGCAGTGCAGTCTATGGAGACCACAAAACCGTACCACAAGTCTCAATATTACACATGAGAGAAAAAAACCATACACGTGAAAGGTAGGTATCACTTTTAAGTGATATCCACACTGTGGAATGCAGTAGAAAACCCCACCCAAAAGTCTACTGTTCAAAAAAACCTCCAAAGCGTACACTTGGCTTTTGTATTTTTCTCCCCAAACACACACAGATGTAATGCTGTTTTAAAGAGAAAGAATGAAAAACATTGGAGTAGTCGCTTCTACAAAACGAATGAGAGTACTCCACAGCTAAGTATCAGCTAGCAACATAAATGTCCTGTGCATGTTAACAACATCTTCTGAACAACCGTGGGTTTAAGTATTCTTTGCTGTTGTGAGAATGGAGACAAGTGCTTCTGTATCCAATCCCAGTTTCGAGTAGTTTAAGCAAGAATAAATAACCATGCTCTTTTTTCTTATTAAGCAATAAATATATCCTTCAAAAAGAACAAGTTTCATAGCCACAGATTTATAGAAATTTAAAGAAACTGTAACCTAATTCCAGAAATTAATAACTGTAAAAGAAAATATAATATTTGAAATGCAAATTAAACACACATTACAGTACTCTCCTCAAAAAAGTATAGAATCCTTTCACAAATATGACAGCGATAGATGCTTTAAGTTGTTACAGCAAAGTTTCTGGGTTCGCACTGGACAAACAACACTACAGAAACTGAAGTTTAAGAGTGAAGTTTTCCCTCCTGTGCTGCCTTTCACTCAATGCTAAAGCCCTTCATGAATAGTTCAGGCATCAGGGAAATCACTGCCCTCCATTTGTAACAGTTGCAGTTACAAGCAAAACTAGAAACAAGATGCCCAGATTTACTCAGTAAAGCCAACTTGCAAAAAAAAAACCAAAAAAACACAAAACACCAAAACCCACAAAAAAACCAAGAAAAAAACAAAGAAACCAAACAAATCTCCTTGTTCAGTTAGAATCCCCAGAAAAAAAGACTTAATCCTAAGCACTGTGCAGCATCTGGGGATTTAATATCAGGCAATCAGGCAACTTTTGAAAGTTTTGAACCTAGAGACTTGCCTAAATTAAGAGAACAATTTGTGGGAAGTAAACCCAAATCTCACTCTGCTTTCGTGGCTAGAACAACTCCCTTTCCTTTCCATACCCTCCACCCAAAGACACTGTCCGTATTTTGAAGCACACGATATGAATTTTTTCTCAGCCATCAAGCAAATGACCACTTAACACTTTTCACAGATTTGAATTATTTATTTTAATTATTACTTATTACAGCATCTACCACATGAGAGCAGGCAGCAACCCCTCAGCAAAAACTGGCCAGTGAAAACTCGTGATTCTTACTTTCACATTAGACCACAGTACTTTTCATATACCCGAACCTCTCATTTCCTAGAAAACCCTGGCATTTCAAAATCCTTTCCCACTACCTTATATAGCAACCTCCTGTGGCTCCCTGCACAATTTCCCTTTCGTGTTGAAACATTTCTATGAAGTCAAAACTTCCGGCGTTCTTAGGAAGAAGCAACACACACCCACACACACAAATCAAAACAAATCTGATTTAAAATGGAAAGTATAATTGCCTTCTGTTAACATAACTAAAAAGAATAGTTTTCCAGGTTTTTTTCTGATTTTTTTCTTCCAAACATCTTTGTTAAAAATCAACAGGCATTTACTGTAAAACTACAGGCACTATTTTTATACAGAAACGTTCCTCGACAGTATTTTCAACTTGCTCTACTTCTAAGCAAAAATGTTTAACGTGCCACAGGCGTAATTATTTTTGCTTGGCTTTTCAGAACCATCTCTGTGGCGCCAAGCATGATGATATAATGTGAGTAAAGATATAATGTGGATATATTAGCCTAACAGCTTGCCACAGCTGTCAAAAAACAAGGGCCCAGTTTCCCGTTCCCGAGCTTTCGCTGTCCCTTCCCTTGGGATGACTCTGGTACTTGTTTGACCACAGAGCAAATGAAGGCAACAGGCTATATTGCCAGAAAGCTTTTATTTATTTTTAAATTCAGGTTAGTTTTCCGATTTTTTTTTTTCTGATACTTTTAAAATCAGGTTAGTTTTCTGACAGTTTAGCAAATGGAACCAGTTTGCACCAAGGTCCAGGTTGACTCCCAACAGCGCGGCAAGGCAGAGGGAAGCAGGGCTCTCTTTGGGGAGCGGGGAGCCACTGGCCCGCGTCACTTCGTCCCCGTACTCCTCCTTCCCAAAGACAGCCTCTGCCCTAACCCCAGCTGAGGCAGCGGGAAGACTCCTGCTGCACAACCGCCCACCGCCAGGCAAAAAGCAGAACCAGCAAAAAAGCACTGGAACTGACTGGGGTCACACGCTCCGTAGTACTCAGACAACTACGCTTCACTCTTCCTACGGCTCAAAGCCATCGATCCTCAAAACCGTAAGTTTGGGTTGTATGGGGATCTCAAAACCACGGACATCTGGTTATAGCGTACACTGTACAGCTCTCAAATCTCAAACAGGGCTTTTTGCTCTGATTTTTCTAGCTGGGAGATGCAGCAGCCAGCTGTCAGGTAGTGCATACTAGTCATATGGGAAAAAGAACAGAGGGAAAACTACTCACTAAAGAATGGTAACTTCCAGAAATAGGTTTCCCTGAGCGTCTTCAAGATCACAGAGAAGCTTACCAAACGTGAAACTACACATCCATTAAAAATACGACCGGCTGAACAGACTGTTTAAAGACCTGCCCCAACACAGCCAGCCAGCACTCGCGTTCACCTCCAGTCACGTCTCTCTCACGGCAACTGAATCGGGCGATTCATCACGTACCAAGGGGGAAAAGACCAATTATCCAAACAGGGCTGTACACAGACGCGTTTCTCCTTCCTGACTCCGAAACGTAAACAAGTTCTCAAACTTCCAGAGCACATACAAGTTCTCCTTGTTAAAGGGTGCAATATTTCCCCTTGGTTACATTTGTTCTACAGCTTATATTGTGAGTAGGGTTGACAAGTTCTCCTTGAAAGAGTCTGATGACTATCTTGGCTGTTTCCTCCCTTTCTAGTTTGGGACTGATTCATTTTCAAACAGATGATCTGTAAAGTTAAGGTCCAAGTACAGTAAAAGGCGTCAGAATTCTTAAGTTTTTAATTTAATTATGTATTACATAATTATGTACTAATGTAATTATTCTAAAACCGACCCTATGATTTCTAGCAAACTGCATTTCTTTTAAATGGCGACAATTTTTCTCTTTTTCACCCCACAAAATCCTCCATTTTCTTGCACGTTGCAAACATATTCCCCAAAGGAATATAAACACAGTAGTTACTCATGGGCAGGATACTTCAGCTTCTTCCCTAGCTGAAATGATGTAATTTGAAGCAAAACAGCAATACGAATAGCAGGAACTCTGACAGCTCTTTACAGATGCAAGATATTCAGGAAAATACTTGAATCGCACCATTCTATTTTCTTCTAAATTACATTTAGAAGACATTTCAGCTATTAATTAGGGACCTATACAGACAATGGAAATTGAGCATGCATGTTACAACTCAAACCTTGTCTTTTTCAACATTCAGTTTAAAAGCCTAGCAACAATGAGCAAGTTTCCGAATTAACAGTTTTCAGTTACTTTTAGTTTCACATGAAGTATCAGTAATTTAACACAAGTAAAAAGAACTTCTGGCCAGTGAAGAAGTTGTAGTAGAAACTCAATAGTGAAGGAGTATTTTTCTTCTGGCAATCTGCTTCTCTGAGCTCCTGAACCACACAAAACCCCACCACATCACTCAATCACCACACGAAGACGACAGATGCATCTCGAACAGCAACGGGCAGTTCCCGGGTGGGAGATGAGAACAGACACCCAAGGACAGGACAAAGGAACACGGGACACGCCGTTTCCATCCTGGGCAACCCACCACGGCGAGCTCTGTGGCCCCGGCTGGACTGCTCCTGCAGCCCGAGAGCGGGGTCACCAGCAACGGCTGCGCCCGCAGAGCCCTCGCCACCGCTCCTAGGACGCGGCATGAGGGTGGAAGGGACACAAACCGACACAAACCAGCTGGTCTGCAGTTAAAGAACCACAAACTGATTATGCCTGGTGTATATAATTACCAATCCTTGCAGACATTGAACTCGGTAGCCTGAGAAATCATAGCAAATTTTAAGAAAACTCTGAACAGCAGACTAAATCTGTATTTTTAAACCACGCATGCTTACAAATTTCTTGCCCAAACTACTGAAAAAAAGTAATTTATACCAAAACAACTTCTACATGTCCACAGAAAGTTCCATAACCATGAACAAACATCAATGCATCTTACCTCAATCATTATATGAAAGGCGTGCTTGCAGAGAGGGGAAAAAACACAGGCAAAAGAAATTACTATTTATACCAAGAATGGGATGAAAAAACAGCTTATAAGAAAAGAGACAAAATAAATTGTTTGTGAATTAACAACAAAAATATTCATGGAGATAGCAATACTTTCTTGTACCAGTAACAGATCATTTAAAATAAAAAAGTCCACCACTGACAGCAAAGAAAAATGGGCAAAAATAAAGATTATTATACAGACTGTTAGCCGAACTGATCTTATAATTAAAACCAGAATTGTCCATTATAGGCGTATAAACAGCAATGTTACTACAAAACAGTATGTAAACACATGCAGAAGATTAAACATCCACACAAACACAAGTTATGCAAACTTCTTTCTTGTTATCCTCCCAACTCTACAGCAGAGGGCAGCGGTGTATTGCTCTAAAATCCACTGTAATTAGTCACTAGCTATGGGAAAAGAAAACTTTTAAATGTCTAAGTTACAACTAAACCTTATGAACAAATAGGTCATCATACAGCAGGTCTATATTACTAAATTTCATCAATAAAACTGGCATGCTAGAGGTGTAACTAGAACAAGCGAACTCGAAAAAACTACATCCAGCATATATAAAATGAGATGACAATATTAAAGATTCTTTCAAACAAGTCACAAGTTTACAGACTACAGAATGAAACCCATTATAAAAACCTAAGTCCCAGAGCACTGCTACTGAAACTTAAAACACATTTTAATGACATCAGCTTGTTTGTGCTACTTTCACCTTTTTTACTGAACCACCTCATTGCCACTCCAGCATAGCAGCACTCAGACACCTTCGCTGCTCCTCCTGTACTTTTGCCTCAGCCATTTCCTTTGTCCTTTATAATTTGATCAGATAGACCTTGCAAGAGCATGAAATTTAAACACTTGAAGTGTTCAGCTGCCATGTAACAGCAATCATCCTTTTCTTCACCCTCTGTCGTTACATTCCTAGGATGCTACAGAGCGCGCTGCCAACAAGAGGCTTTTCTCTGCGCTTGAAAACTGTCTAGCACACGCTTTGCATTATCTAAATAATTAATAATAGGAGGGCTGAAGTATTTCTTGAAGGTTAGATTAGCTGCAAGTCAGATTTATAAATACTGTAGCAGAATTTGCTGCCGCTGACAGAGCACTGAAGAACGCTGGAGCTCCATGGGATCACTCCTCCTCCTCTCACTGTCGGCCAGCAGCCCACCGGCGACGAGGAGAACACCCACACCAAGAGTCTGAACCAGATTCTTGCAGGACTCGTACAGCCGACAAATATTTTGGGGCACGTCATAAGGGAAAAACAACCCCACACTAAACAAAAAATCCAAACCCTTAAACTGGTTTTCAGAATAGCCGCTCATCCTCACCTTCAAGTCGCTGTGAGATGGTGGTTCCAGCAGAAGGACAGCTATTCCACGTATACTCAGAAAAACTACAAGGCAGAGTCTGCGGCACAAACTCCACAAACCACGAGCACAGTTACTCAAACAACTTCCTCCTCTAAGTCCCCCATATCCCTTTGCCCGAAACAGCAGCCAAGCAAAATAAAATTGTTACTCAATCTGTGAATCTGATAGGGAACAGCTACTGAACAGAGGAACAGAAATCTCTCTATGTACTGATATTGGTACTAACTCGAGTAGTCAAAGAACAGACCATAAATGTTAAAAACATGTATGTTATCAAAAAGCATTGCTTGTATGAAATGGTTATTCAACAAAACTCTTTCCTGTGGCTGTAAAAAATTTGTTAGTCATTTTTTCAGGCCTATTTGCTATTAAAATTCTCCAGCTCCTGAGAATTACATAAATTCATCAGAAATAAGGAAAAAGATACACGAATCTGACCTTTTTTGCTCTTACCATAATGAGAAACTGCAAACATGAAACTCCGAGAAATGAGTCCTCTCCCACGCCTCTCACTACTCTCATAAGCTTCACCCAAATGCTAATAAAGTAGACAACCGTGAAAATGTTCAGAGAGAGATTTATGCACATCACAGACCTTCTGATTTTAAAATCACTGTCCTAGCCTCCAGACTCCAGACTCCCACCTCGGACTTTTCATCAGAAATGCAAGTATCACCAGTTGAAGCAGTATCAGGCTACGACAGAAATGCAAATACGTGCTTTCTCCTGTCAGGAATTAATACAACCCTTATAAATAAAAACTGGCAGCAATTAACCCACCCCAAACAGCTATCATCTACACAAATGTATATAAACACACTAACTTCCTATTTATACTGCCTGAAAACTACTTCTAAAGCTTTTATCAGGGATTAGGGAAATGATTGCGACATTTGTAACCAACCAGACAAACAAAACCAAGCAGTGTGGTCTTTTCCCAAGTTTGGGCTATCCACAATCACATTCTGAATTTCAAACATGTCACAAAAATCTTTATAAACATAGTGCTCAAAATGAATGCAAGTTATTTGTGGCGATCCCTGCATTTGCTCCTAACTAGCAGTCTAAACACAACATCTGCGTAGTCACCCACAGGCCCTCCATCTCTTCAGAGGATGTAAGACGAATTACTTTTGTATGTGTTCTGAAATGTGTAATTCTCACCCATTTCGGGATGTAAAAGACTACGTGAAAGATGACAACCTCTAACATTCAGGAGAGCATATCTGAGGATATGCACGAAACTGGGCTTCACTCTGGAAAATCACTAAAAAGCTCCTGACGGTAGAGTGCCCGGACTGCCGACCTCAGAGAGATCAGTATTTCAGCCTTCCTGGGATTACTCCACGGCACAAAGACTATAATCTAAAACTAAACCAACTTCTTAATAAGCCAGGAATAACGTATAGTATTGAAAGCATACAGTTTACAAGACCATGCTCTGCTTGAATCAACGCAAAAGCACAAAGTAACTTGACGTTCACTATAGAAATACACTTGAAACTTTTTAAATTTTAATTGTACTTTAATTACGAAGTTCCCTTTAGGCTCCATTCAGGATAAGATACCTTAAGGCTGGACTTGTATTTTCTTACCTCTTGAAGATTTAAAAAAATATGTCTGTATTTGTGGTTTATTTAAATGGAGATAGCTTGTTCTGAAAGAAAACTGAGAATTCAGGAGAGTACTTCAAAAAAATTTTTTTGAAAGCTATCAAGATTTAGAACCAAAGTTTTGGATGGCTGGTTGTATGCTGAGCACTGAAAAAGTGTGCCTCACTATGTAATTGGTTTTCAATTATTTGCCATACAAATTCTTCCCCTGGTAAAGATTTTAAGGAACTACTAGGTCTGTAATAGCCCATAAATTCTAAAAAAAACACCCAACCAAACAAAAAACCTGCATAGTTACAAGCTATTTACCTACTACACATTAAGTACTCCCGATCTGTAACAAATTTCCCACTGCTTTCTCACAGTACCCCCATGTCTGTGGGTTTTTTTTTTTTCCCCCCTTATAACCAACCATCGTGGCTGTACCTCACACAAAAGACAGCACCAGATCTTTCTCCTGTGTCATTCCAGCTATTGGTTGGGATCAGTTATAGAATAAAGTCTTGTTAGTCCTGAAGATAGGACATCATGCACACATCTAGCAGTCCAAATGAGATCACTCCGCTGTTCCTTTTTAACACCAATATTGCCACTAGTTACATGTTAATCATTCATTAACCACTGATAGGTACCCAACCTTAACTCCTTCCTAGCTAGACACAAGCTCTAACTCAGTCTTCTTTTTTTTTCTTTTTCTTTTTAATTTGCCCTCTTTCTGAGCTCCAGCTTTTCTTGATCAATCTCTTTTCCCATTTCATACAAGCACCTGCCTTCTCCATATGTTTTTCAAGTAGCTATTGATCTTCTAGGTTTGGAGTAAGTCCTTGTAAAAACATCTCTCCCTTTCTGATTCTTCATTTTTCAAGTGTTATAATGTTTCTATTAAAATGTATGTAACAATAACATGAGAAACAAATGTGGCTGGAAAAGAAAAATGGAAACCACCTGAACACTGGATTCAGTTCCTTCGCTCTTCAGCAGCCAACTGTAGTTTCTCTAGTGTGGCAAAGGGATAAAGATTATCCCAGAAATTAAGTGCACCAGGTAGATTATTTGGTGTGCTAAAAGTTAATTTAGAGAATAAAAGCAATAAATGAAAATATTTTCCAACGTCAACCATAAAAACCTTCCCATTACTAACCACTTTCATGGCTTTCTGAAAACAAACCATTCACATTACACACACCCGCTCAAACTCCTCAGCACAGGTCTGGTGGCCCAGGCCAGATGTCTGAGGTCAAAAACTGCAACAAAGAGCAGTGCTCGTGTTGTTACGTGCTCTCTTTCCATTAGTTTCCAACGCAGAATTTGTTGTTCCACTGCTACCCATGCAGTTGCACCTGCAGTCAGGAGTTCAGGATGCATCTCGCACATGCCACCGCTACAGATTTTTCTCCTTTATCATTATTCACGTCATGTTATGTGATATTGTTTTCAAGTCTAATTTCTTACAGACGAAACTGAAATGCCAAAACCACGACACAGCTACAAAGATCTGTTCATACTTGGGTGTCTTCAGGAAAAGCTACACTGAAGAAAGACTATCATGGTATGGTAGTGAAGGTAGCCAGACCAAAATCACCGTCAACCAAAATCAGAGTGTTTTCTGATGCTCAACAAGCTTTTGAGACCAGGGGGATGATCAGATCAACCTCTCTTTGTATTTGATATATGTGCTCCAATTATTCTTAATTCTTGGTTCACACAGCACGTGACTCTGAAGACATGGGGTGCTCTCCACATATGAAGGACCGGTGAGGGTCATCCAAACCCCAAAAATGACGCACACAAAAGACTGTCGTGCTCAACACAGGGAATACTGGGTGAAAAGCTTAAAGGAAGTGATAGACAGAATGTTAGAAGCAGAAGATGTAGTCGTACTTCTTAACTACATAATCCTCCTCTCTGAGGAGAGAAAGAAATTGTAATTGCTAGCAACTGAGCTTGCTTTTATGGCCACTCTGACAGACGGGATCTGTCCATTCCACATTTTCAAGTTTCTGGTAACACCAAACAGCCCTAGATCAGGGCGTTCTTGTGCTTAGTGACTAAAAACATGAAGCATCTTTGACCCAAGGAAGTTTCAAAGTTTCAGAGGAAAGCACAAAAATAGGTTACGAAGGAAAATGACATTATGTGAATCTGTAAAGCTTTTTTTTTTTTTCCCAGCCCTCTCAACATATGACTCTCTTTTTAAAAACACCACAAAACAAAAAAAGCAACTCTGTGATCCAGTAAGATATTCGTAACTTGGGCACTCAACAAAAAGTACAAGAGGTTAATCTCCCTTTCCACAGCATGGATGCAAAATGTTGGGGGCCACAGCTCTGTGAACTGACAAAACCCAAAAGCGTTACTTGTGTCAGTTCTGCTATAAAATAGGTTATGGTCCTATCTATCAGATGACAGAGTGGTAACACTACAGTTGTAATTAGCATTGACTGACAACTCTGGCCCAAGCTCAAGAGATGTAAAAAATAAATGAGCATAACATATCAACTCCTTGCCATCCGCATTCGTATTTCTACCGGGAATATTAGCAGGATGCTGTGGGGAAACCTAAAATACACCTAATTTGAGAGCGAGCGCCTTTGTCCGCAAAGCTGGTAGCGTTTCATTTTCAGTGTACCTGGTGCTCATGAGGGAAAATTAACCAGGTGAGAGTAACTCTTTCGACATAAAACTACACAGATTCAAATACTTCAAATACTAATCCCTTTTTTTGGTGAATTTGATCAGATAAATGCATATGTCTGCTGCATTATTAAATTAAATATAAGTAAGAAAATGAAACCGTTCTTTCCAAGATACACATACGTATTTAGCAAACTTGCATTTGTTAATAACTCCTTCAGGAGTTTAAAGCGTGACAGGTTTTATGCAATCTGCCAGCTGTAACCAGACGGCACCCCACAGACCGCAGCGAGGCACGCAGCTCGCGGCACAAACAAGGGACCCCGCGGCACGCCAGCCAAGAGTAACGGGAGCGAGGACGGGAGCCTGCCCTGGCCGCGGCACCTCGGAGCAGGAAGGTCCGCGCCGGACACCGGCACGGAGCCCCTCGGCAGCTCCCTGCTCCAGGAACCCCCTTTGCCCCCCTGCCCAAACACCTGAAAGGAAGCGAGAATGGAACGTGTAAGGAGCAAACAAAAACATCCCCTGCTTCCCAGTTTTAAACCAAACACACAACCTAATTCTACCACATGCAATTTCAAAGTATCTGTAGGTTGAAAGGGAATGGAAAGACGAGCTAATCCACACCGCTGTGACCTGAGCTCAGTCTGTGTAGGAACTGCCTGCCTGGTACGCGCACGTAACGTGAAACCATTCTGCTTCCAAAGAAAATACAGTTGTTTGCACTTTCTCAGATGTCTGTCCTTTATGTTTCACTACAGGTTCAAAAATTACTTCTAGCACATTTCTTCCTTTTTTTTTTTTTCCAATTATTGCAAACAATTTCTTTTTGTTCTCTGATTGTTTTAAATTTAGTTGTCCCTTCTCCTAATTGTTCAATGATTTCTCACTCTTGAGTTTTTCCTCATTTTTGTATTTTGCTTATTCCTCATCTACCCTTTAACTTCTACTGAAAGAAAGTTTAGTACCGGGGCGTACTGCACCGAAGTAGTCTCACCGCCTTCCAGGAATAAACCGAGCAAAATGAGGTAACTTTTATCTGGATCTCACACAGAAATCCTTGCTTTCTAGCAAGTATCTGCTGTCCGTCTGATCTATCCATTCTATCACTTGCTACAGAAAGATTCGGAAAAGAATCCTGTCGCCTACAAGCTCTACTCATGCCCTAATTATTAAATATAATATTAAAATTTAATGTATGAATTGCATAAATATTTAAATGTTTGTTTCATGGTTATAAAATTACTAATACTTTTCCCTCTCTTCCTGCTCCCTCTGCCTCCTGTTCAAATCAGCTCTAATCAAATTCGAAGTGGGGAATACTGTTCGGCTGCATATGGGAGAATATTTATACATTCTATTTCCATAATAGTTTCATTTAGTTTTTCAGGCAGAAGCAGCTTTTCCTGACTTTCCACATGAAACCTTAATGCCTATTCACCACAAGATAAGAAAATGCTATTACACCATGACTAGCTCAAGCACCAACATATACTTATCCCAACAGATACAATCTGAGCATTAACAAAACAGCTTATTACCCTATTTATTAAAAATTATGACGTGTCCACTCCTGTACCAAACACAAACCACGCAAGAAAAGAACTGCAATAGAAAGGAGGAAGAAAATAAAAATTCAAGTTCTTGACATCTCGCATGTGTTTAACATTTGCTTGCTTTTCTATCACTTCATCCATTACTTAATTTAAGTCTAGAAAGGAAATTACATGCTGAAACTATCCACACAACTAACAGTTATGAATTTGATCTTACAGTGAAGACTACTAGGTTGATGTAGTCCCAAATACCTAAGAACTGAGACGGATGAAATAATTATGCTAACAGATTGCATGAAGTTTGAGAATCTGCAATACTTTCTGCAAGGACAGGAAACATACTTTTTTCCTCTAAATTAGTTCTTTTCATTTGGCAAGAACATATGCCCACTGCCTCCCCCCCAAATTTGTCTTATCTATTACTACGAAACTGAAACTAAAACAATTGTACTTATCAACCATAGGCAACACCGCTTCCTGGAACGCCCTGAAGTCAAGCAGTAGCCCTCAAAATACCACAGCAGCTGGCAGTACGGAGCAAGTACGTATCAATCCTTCTTAAATGCAACCCTACCAAAAATAACAAGTGTTTTAATTTTATTTAATCACAAATAGCAGCATCGTTTCACCACCGTACAAGAGGCAGTGTGTGCCAAGTGGTCGCTGCACTGAGTCAGGAAGCTGAAGTTCAATTCCTCCTGCAAAACCCCAAGTGTTATGGGATCCTGGGCAAATCATTTCTCTCTCCGTTTCCACCACCCCATTTTGTTCATGTTTCCTACTTTTGTCTGAAGATTTTTCTGTCTTAATTTTTTTCATAAAAGCCTTCTAATCTCATCTGGATCTCTACCCATAACTGACGGAAGAGGAGTTCTAGTGTTAACACCAATCACACCGATGGCATCAGCTGGAGCCTCACGGCAGCAGGAACCACGCACCTGCAGCCACAAAGGTTTGTTTCAATGCAACACAGCCAGTTTACACTGCAAACCTGGAGACCATAATCTCATCATATTTCCTAAGTAAAACACAAACACTGCTAAAACTGAAACATTTTAAGACAAAACACGAAATACATAAACAAGTAAAAGGAAAAAGATGACAAGAATCACAGTAAGGCCACCAGCTGAGCTAAGCCCTGGCACTAGGCTTCAACTGAAGATTTTCTTTAAGCTCCCTTTAGCTGACACCCGCATCCCAGTTCCATGCTTTTAAAAAAATAGCTATGCTTCTATTAGTTACTATTCCCTATTCACTGCAAGCTACCATTAAGAATTAGCATGCCTCCTTCATTTTTGTTTGAAGCTAAGCATTACATAAAGCTCAACCCTAAGGACCTGAGCGCAGCTGCACGCAGCTTTCAGGCAAGTCATCCTTTTATCTACCTGGGAGTACAAACTTCCCACAGCTGTCCAGCAACACCGCATCTTTGCCACCTGAAGTTTTGTGCTTAGTTTTTCTCCTCCAAAACACAGAGATGTGTAAGAACATTCAGTAGTGGCCCACGCATTCATCAATTAATTAAAGGAGATAAGGCTGTTTAAGTATAAGCTTGCTTTTCTGGTTTTGCAGCTAGCAAGCATTATCACCTCTAAACCAGGATAGCAACAGGAGACCTCAGCCACGTGACAGACTCATACCCCTTTCACTCCTCTCCTCTTCAGAAAATGGTTTTACCACTCAAAAACCCAAAATCATAATGCAGCCACTTACCTGGGTTGGAACGAGTACCGGAGGATACGCTAGCTTGTGATGTCTGTACATCCAAAATGAGAAGAGCACAATCACTGCAATTGCCATGATAGGCACCAACGAATAAAGCAAGGTATTGAACAGAGGTGGCTTAGGTGTAACAGGATTGGAGGTTGCTGAAGAACAAAAAAAAAAAGAGGACACATTTTTTAAGAAACAAAAATCATACAGTGCTTGAAATGTCTAGCATCCTGATTTTCTAAGAATTCTTGCGATCAGCACAACAGGTTAGCAATACTTGATCAGATCACGTACTTCAATATAAACAGACACATATTTCAAAGGCAGCATTCTGGGAAGCGCAGAAGTAGCTTCAATCCCCAGAACTACACCTCAGCACATCTAAGATTTTTGTGCTTCTAAGCTCCACCTATCTACAGCGTGCAAGAGGCATCTGCATTCTACAGAGACTGCAAGAACGCCATCACCTAATGAATGAAAAAAGAATCAATACAGAGGTTCAGTCTTCGGAATGTATACAACAAAACATCACTAATAAGCAGAACAGGCCAGAAAATCTGCCAACGTTTCACTGAACTGTCGATTTGCTGAAAGGAAAAGCTCTCTGGCTGGAGACGCTTCCACAGGGCCTCCAGAAAGCCTCCCGAGAAGCCCTGCTTCGGAGGCAGCTGGCGCACGGGCAGCCACAGACCCCTGGGGTCTGAAGAAGAATGTCACTTAGTGCCTTCGCAGTATCTCTGACAAAAATGCCAAGAATATCTCTTGGGCCAACAAAGGCTATTTTCATCTCATCGAAAATGTTATTTAACTTCACAAACAACTTCCTCCAGCTATTTGGGACACGAGACATTTGCTGCTTTCAGTTCAGTTATTAATATTATTCAGTTTTCCAATAAAGATTAGATATTTGATTACTCTTGTGTAATTTCTTCCAGTCAAGTAATCTTTTAATTATTGTTTTTTAAAAAGTCTGGCTATCTGATTTTCTTTGTAACCTGGGAGGAAATTCTTCCCCCCTTTCTAAAGGTTACTGTGTTAATTCGGGGCGAAACTCAAAGGTCCAGTTACTTTAAAGAAATAGTGAGAGCACTGTTCCAAGCAGAGGAGCATTCGTAGGCTGGTTATGTGCACGTAAGGATGATACGGCTTTTAGCCCAGTGATTTATACACACTTACAGAAGCTTAACTATACAATTAAGGCAAGATTTGACAGTAACTTCTGTATATTAAAACAGCCAATTATTTCAGATTATCCTTCCTTCTCACCCTTAGAAAAGAGCTGAAGTACCTTTTATCAGTTTCAATTACTTCTAGTATAGAGACCTTTCAAAACTGAAGAAACGAACTCGCAATTTTCTAGCCTCTTGACGTGCGCGCACCCAGCACTCCATCATCCGGGAAGCAGAAACCTTCCGGCAGGAAAAACTGACCACAACATTTTGAAGTCCCATCTCTGAACATGCAAAATATTTAATATTTCTGAGCTCTGCTAAGCAGTTCCCTCATAAATGTCTTAAGACTAACTTACGCTGCGTGACCTCCATTTCTGGAAAATAGAAAAAGCGTTCGTTACACATGTTGCCTTCACAGCAACAGAAAAACACTTCAGGGCTGTCTTTCTTCTCTATGCAATCATTCCTGTAAAAGATAATAATAAAAAACTTCAAGTTGTTGTGGCCTTTTTTTTTCCCCCCAAAGAGAAAACATATGCTCATATTTAAAATTTAAAGTGAACTTTATTAAATCATCCAGGATAACAGGATACCCAAGAAGAGTTAAATTTGAAGAAACAAATTAAAGTTATGTTACTTCGTATTGCAATGAAATATCATTAAAATTAAAACTGAAACAGCACATTTTTGTTACTTTTAAGATAAAGAATTTTTTAGGATGCCTTTCAAAAGCTTACAAAAACACTGAGAAACAGTTCACAACAAACAAATGATCACATGGCTAGTATTTAAACATAAACGCACAGTACAGGGTTGCATGGGTTGGAGGTAAGTGGAAAGGAGAATTTTTAAATTTTATTTCTGGAAAAAAGAATAAAATTTCTACGGTTGCCTCTGCCTACATCACGCTCAGGGACAAGGCTTATCTCACCCCATGAACTAAGTGCAAGACAGGAGTTCTATTAACACATAAGCTGAAACTATTGAAGTCAGGAAATTAAAACAGGAGTCATACAGGAGACAACTCGACAGTAGTAAGAGAAGAATTTGAAAATCCTGCAGAAACAGTTGAGGATTTTCAATACAGCTGAAGATTGTAAAAAAAGTTTTGCATTCATCTTCAAAAATTAGTTTATTTTATAGAACCAGCTACTACAGTTACACTGTACTGTAACTTCCATAAACCATTTATTCTTTGATGTTCTTAATCTGCTGTGGTTTGGAATTCATCATACTGTAACTCCCTGTTTAGTAAAGCATTCTTCACTCCCAGAGATAAGACTTTGTTTAATGGATATTTTAGACAAACTTGGCAGCGTGCATTCTTATGACAAGTAACAGTTAACGAGGTCTTCGAGCCAGACAAGCTTTTGCTCACTTGTCAGCTATTTCCTTACTGGCCTTCCTGCATTTTATTTCTTCCTCCCATTTCTTTTCTTTGCTCAAGGGAGAATTTACTACCAATTTTTTTTTTAGACTGTTCAAAGATACATGTGGAACGAGCAGGGTAACAACGCTAAAGAACCTAATTCTATTTCCAAATTGAAAATTTCTACTTCTATCTCGGAAGTTAAATATTTAACAGAAATAAACTTAGTTCAGACATTGTAAACACCCCCACTTCCTCTGCAAAGCTATAGCTAAGAACAGAATAAAAAAGTCCCCCAAAAGTCCGAAGTACATTCCCATCCTGAGTAACTTACAGTTACTAGATACTAGTAGCAAAAAATACGATTTCTTAAAAATTGTCCTTCGCCTTCCAGCACAGCCAAATTTCAGTCGTGCTGTGCAAGCAAGCTTGCAGATGCTTTGCTACTTCTCTGAGAAACAGATAAATCAGAACTACTGTTCACTTTCTTTAAACTGTCATTAAAGGAGAAAACATCCTAGTACGTGGGGAAACTTTATTTGGTAGAAATGACGATAATAATTTCTTCTACTCATTCAACATTCAATAAACATTAAGGGAAAATTTTCTAAAATACTGCCAAGAAAGATTTCTAAATACATTTTAATGAGGACCTATTATGCATTTATGCTCTTAATTATCTCCCTTTCCAAACAATAACCATTTTGGTCAAATAGCATCTAGTACAGTACTTCAAAGAATTACCATACTATTTCTTAAGAGTCACGACCTTTATTCAGCCAGTATCTAACAAGCCCCAAGTCCTGCTGTTACTGTTCGCAGGTACTTGCTAGACCATCTGTTATAAAAAAATGACTGGAATTTTAGAATACGCCATGTCTCAGAGCGGCCACTGAGGTGAGCTTCTTAATAAACCGGTAAAATACTTCTGTATTTAAGCAAAGAGCAGACGCAATCTGCTGACTTTCTTACTCCAAAGACATTGGAAAGTGAACTATAGAATTTTGCATTCTGGTTTCAATAACTATTTGCATTGCTTGGCAATAACAAGTCACTACAAAATCTATTATTAATGGCCTAAAAAAGAGTAAATTTTTTAATACATATTAAGTAGACAGCAAAAGGTGAGACATGCTATTCTGCAAACAAGACAAAGTACTTAGATGAAGTCAGGTCCCTAAATACAGGTAAATGAAGAAGAAAACAAAAAAAAGAGATGTGTGTATGTGTGTGCACATCTAAATACAAGATAACCATTCACAGACTACTGTATTATCATTTTTCTCAAGGACTGTTTGCAGAGAGGAGGTTGTATAAATTATGGACAGGCAAAATAGTTTAAAATGACAAATAAATTTTGAGTTTATAGAAAAACTCACTTACCTGTCATAACAGTTGATGTCATCTAGCCAGCAACCTTGCTTCACAATTTCAATTGATCCAGAAATATTCTTCCATGTAGCAAAACAGTGTCGTCTTTTATCTTTATCACCATAACAAGGTTCAATACCACTGCGATTTGTTTTATCTTTTTCCCAATTAGCGTTGTAGTAGATACACTCTTGTGTTTCTGATCTGCCAAGTATGGCACCTTTTAGGAAGAAAAAGTAAATCACAGTTAAATGGCATTCTGAAGGAAGAGACATATGAACAGTCAAAACCAGGTTGTACTAAAATATCATATAACGCTTGTATCAATACGCCCTCTTCCCCTCCTTTTTCTTTTTAATAAAGAAAGAAAATATTTGAAGTTCACAAGCACTCCAAGCAAGCTGCAACATAAAACACAGATTTTCTGTTAAGTCAAACAATAACTTGGATAACTTATAAAGATCTGAAGAAATAAAGAACAAGTTATGGTAATACTTCTCCCTGAATAGCAACAGCAGAGAAAATTTGAAATATTGAACAGTAAAGATTTAGTATTAAATTTAGCCAAACAAGAACTTCTAGCTAGCAGAATTTACCAAAAGGCATTTTTGTCTCTTCTGTTGTTACATGTGTCTAAAAAAAAAAAAAAAGCAGTTTATATGTGTTAAAAACCTAAATCCAAGTAATAAGTTCAGTTTTGAAACATTAACATCTTTTCCCCTGCAATGGAGCTTCTTAAGACAAAGCATTTAAGACACTCTACACTAAAACAGTATCCTTTGCATCATTCTGATTTTCCAAGTGAGCAACTGGAATCCAGACTAACAGACGCGAGGCAGCAGTCCCTACCCTCCACGGGCAAGGCGGGTTGTATCGCTGTGGGGTCCCACCCAGTCAATCGCCCACAACACGAAAGACAGGAGGACACTCCGGTAAGGGAACGCTGCTGCTCTGGGAAGGCCCAGGGGGACGTCTCCCCTTCCCACGGCGCGCACCCAACGCACGCCGCGGGATCAGCCTCGATGGCCGACGCGCAGGCTGCAGGCAAAAACAAGCCTGGGGGTGTCTGGAGGCCACAGCACTGGTGCAGTCTGTACTACCTGCGCTGGTGGACCCGACTGGACGAGCAGCCTAGCTAACCCATCCCGATAGCATGGGATATACCGTTTCTTTGTTATCTCAGTAGTCTTCAAAATAAAAGTTTCTGAATTTTTGAATTGAATTCCGTCATTTAAATTACAGATGTAATTGACTCTTCAGTGCCTACCGACAACCTACAGCAAAACCCAGCAAATCTTAACAGGCTGAGGCACCTCCGAGGGGAGCCACCTTCATAGTTTTAATGTGACATGCAGCACCAACCCGGTTTCTGCAAAGGTAAAGGGCTGTCAGGATGCAAAACCATTAACAGAACACTGGAAGGGAGTAATAACTGGCTTTCACTTCTATTTTTATCTTCTCAAATACGGCCAAGAGCATTGCCGTTAATCTTCATCATTTAACAAGTACTCTAAACATGGAAAGACAGGAGAGGGAGATTGAAAAGCTAGAGAGTCAGAGGACTTCAGAACTGAGGAAGGGTCAGGAGGATGACAAAGCACGTTTACTTTGCCTGTGCAGCCATCTGACACTTTGAAGAAAGACAGTCGCATCAGACATCACGCTGCAGATCAGAACAGAAAAGGTCTTCCAAAGCAGTCAGCTTCACACGTATTTATCTGTATCACTCGTTACCTCCTTTATTCACACATACCCACAGTAATTCTGATACATCAGCTGCTGCCTCGTAGCCATACTCGGACTTATTCTCCTAGACAAGGGTACAACAAGGAGAGCAGCTGTAACCCTGACTTCTTCAGTGGGATGAAATCTTTGTCACCCAGGCACTCTACCCACCAGCGGTAGGAGGTGGGGGTCAGGGTTACTGGTAGAGGCTTCCATCACCTTACCCCTCTTCACCACACACACACAACTGAGAGTAAAGTCATTTTTCTCAGTAAACAGACTCGACTGTACAGGGACCAAAAAATGCCGCACCACCTCTCACGGTGACAAGAATCATTTCAAACTGAAAACTGCCGCAGCCCTCTTGAAGCGCAGCGCTGGACGTCAGTCGAGCGCAGCGCTGACCGTACTGGGCATCCCACATCACCACCTTCAGAAACGTTTGACTTTGACACGTTCCCAAAATAGGCAGAGGACGCTGCTTACGCTTTTTGGGAAAGAGCCTGGACGTTCAATGGGAGAGATGCACCAGCCAGCTGGTAACACTGCGAGATGCAGCATGTTAACTATTATATTCTTTGTGCGGCGATGGCCTGACCTTTACAACTCCCAGCTACGGCAAGAAACAGATGAGGCAACAGATTGAACAATTTGGTTCTGTCAGTGCAATAAAGCAGAAGTCCTGGATTTCTCTCGTACGTGCCATTCCTCTTCTGCTGCTGCCAAGCCTAGCTTTGAAGGACCATAAACAAGCCGAATTTGATAAAAATCAGAAACTATGGTAAAATTAACTGTGCACAAATATTGTTCTTATATATGTCTTCTCTATAGTCAGGTTTTCTTATCCATGAATGCTCTGAATCCGTTCAGCCTCTCCAACTGGCCAGCAATCATGCTGCTGGGCTAGTGACTTTGGATCCGACTGGAGCATCTGACCGTAATTCCTTCTCTAGGGGCTGAGCCCACATTTGCAATAGGTCTGGCCAGACCACGCTGATGTAGGGACACAGCAGGACAATCTCGGATTTATCTTTCGAAGTAGAAAAGCAGGAACACAGTGGAAGTAAGGAAAGAAAAGAAGGGGAACCACACAAAGAAGGCAGCCTTGAGCCCACCGCACAAAGGAGGCATCTGCTTACAGCCAGCTCTGCCACCCCCTCCGCAGGAATCAGACTCTCAAAAGGAGAAGGGCAGCTGGCATTTACAACAAAAACAAATTTATTTGGGTCCCAGTTTAGGCATAGCATGTCTACGATTAACTCCTACACCCATTTTGAGCACTGCCAAATTGTTTTCATTTGAAATTGTCAGGTCTTCGGGAAATCTATTACTGAACCTCAACAGGCAAAACGCTGCTGTTGAAAGAAGCCATCAGCAAAGCACCGACAGTATCCTAGGGACCGAACTTAAAAGTCTGAAAGCTTGCACACTGAAAAAGCAAAGAATACTCAAATACATTACAGCTCTTAGTTTCGGCACATTAAGACAGATCGCATTTACTACACGCTGCTATCATATTGCAGTTAGTGTGCTGTTGTATCACTATACAGTTGTGTTCATCCACAACAGCTGCAGGAAGAAAAGAAAAACAGCATTTGGTAGTGAACTTCTGAACTGCCCTTAATACAGCATACACCGTAACTGCTGGCAGTACAGAAAGCAATTTTATCAGAGCCTACGTGTGCAGTCTGGAAAACCTCACCTTAGCAGGAATCTGAAGGACTGGCCATCATTTTTTCAAGCAGAAAGACTACATGAACGCCTGAAAAAAAATTCTAGCCATTTTAAGTTAAAAAAAGGGGTAAACAATGAAATCCATGCATAGCTAGTAAGAAGGACTATACTAACATAGCCCTAATTTAGAAAGGGATTACTGGAAGAAGACACTGGATGGAATACGAATTCTCTATTACAGATATCACTACGTAACACCCAGAGGGAAAAAAGAGAGATCCTGCCTTCTGGGAGTTTATCATCTAGCTTTACTTAGTAAACCTGAAACCAAGCAACACAACTGTATTGGTCTGTAATGCAGGCATGTTTTCATGCCAGTTTTACTAAAAAGTCTGAAATGCGATCATGATCTTCCCTCTCCTTTCCTGAAAGACTTCAAAAGACACCCCACTCCCCCATGTCCTACTCCTGTCCCCAAACGCTGCTTTGGCAGCACACTTGGTTGGCGACACCACGTAAAGACACAAAGGCTTCCAGTCAAAGAGAAGATGAATTTGTGATTCCTTGCTGGTTTATGAAACCTAGCAAAAACTCTTAAGCTGAAGTGATGAAAACTGGTGAAAAGGCTACAAAGCTTAGTTTGACTGCGCTTAGATCTAAAACATCAGGGCGGAAAAGAAACCCCAGGTCTTCTGAAAGCCACTCTACGCATGTTGATGGCTCTGATGGGCACTCCCAGTGAGTACCTACCATATCCTTACCTAGAAGGGAACTGGAAATAAAATTTCACACTTCTTTCTGCATGTCTTCCAGCAGAGACCTGTTTTCCATCCAGTACATTTCTGAGATGTACTTACTCAAGCCTGAGATGCAAACAGCAACACTGAAGTCCGGCAACAGTAATCACATGTGTACTTCAAGGCCGCACAACCTTCCAGACAAGCCCATTACGCTATACTTGAACTTGATTCTATTATAAGCACTAATGACAGTGTTGGTAAGGATTTATATGCAGGAATCCTCATGTGACAGAAAAAGACACTTTTTTTTTGCCGTTTCCTAGAAAACCTAGTATATATAAGAAACGAAAGGGTGAAGTTCAGTCTGGCAGCTAGCCATACTTACTGTAGAAAGGTTATTTAAATTGTATTGTGTTTGAGATTAATTTGAACTCCTTCTGAGCACTGAGATCCACAAACACACAAGGAATGGACAGTTTACTAGGCTGAACTAGTCGAGCAGAATGGCCTGACGCACCACAGGGACTGGCCATGGCGAGCTGCTCAGCAGACAGAACAGCCCGTTGGCTGAAAGATCGGAATTCCAGCGCGCTGTGGTAGGGGAGGAAAAAAAGGAGAGGAAATGTAGCATAGATAGAAATAGCATCTTGAAAAAACTTCAGTTACTGTACAGGTATCTTTTGCAAGTACTTGTCTATATATAGATTATTCTATTTGTTTCCACGGTGATCTCATACACGCTTTCTAGACCCACAAATATATCTAAGAACAGACTACAGATATATACTAAAAAGGCCCAGCTGTGATGTTCCTGCAAGCAGGTTTTTATCATTTTGCATTTTTTTCTGATAACACCCAGGGGAATGTTTCTCAAAGGAAAAATCAAGAGGTTATTTTCAATCTAATAAAGCAAACTGAGTTACAACAGAAAGGACCTATTGTGTCCTCTTCATACACACCAATATGCTCCCAAAATATTTTGTTCATCTTCAGACAAGTATTAGTCCTCTTATCATCGTTCTCAAAGCTCGCAGATCAAACAAGAACTGTACCCCATATAAACTGAGCCAAAGTACA